CCCCCCCTCCCAAGAAAAAAAAAAAACCGGCTGATTTTTGCCTGCAACGGGTGCCTCGTGCAGGTGACCCCCTGGCTGCACGGCCGTGCTGCATGACCGGCCGAGCCAAGTAGCCTAGCTGGAGACTCCTTTTTTTTTTTCACCTTTTTAAAAATTTCGAATTTGGACCATTTCTTGGTTTTGCACGTCTCATGCTTGCACGTGTTGTAGTGGAGACCATTTCTTGGTTTTGAGTGTGTCGTCGTGTCATGCTTGCCCAGAGGCCATGCTAATCCTGTTTGTCTTGTCCTTCATGTCCCGAAGGACATCCTCTGGAGAGCTCTGATGTGCCAAGTAATTTTTTGAAATTCGAAATCTTCGTAAGCTACCAAGCTCTGGACTAAGTGGACTTCAGGGTCGAGGTCCCGGCAGCGAAGAGGGGTTTCCGTCAAGTGCCTGAATCTAGATGTGTTTTATGCAGAGATGCAGAAAAAGCAGATCACTAGTGATTTTCTGCACCTCCCCGCAATCACGTCCAAGTTCCGGCATTAAATTTAATCCCAGTAGGACCTCACCCCTGATCTATCACGGCCTCTTCTCTGACGATGAAGGACGATTGGCATCCCCATTCCATTGTCTCAAAAGAACAAGAAAATGAACTATTTCCAGGGTCTCAGCAGTTGTTGGCCTTTTCGTGCTTGCTGCACAGGGAGCTGGCCAACCTCCATGCGCAACTGGTCACCACTGGGACACTGACCGAGGCCGAATTCTGGCAGACGAGGAAGGTTTGTATTGTGCTATCTTCAGAATCTTACGCCTTTTTGGAAGTCTTGCCACCTTTGTCTTTTTGTTGTCGTGGATTCCCCCCCCCCTCTTTTTTCGTCTGCAGCGCTGTCTTTGCTTTCTTGCTTTTCTTGCTTTTCTTGCCTTTCTTGCTTTTCGTCTTGCTTTTCCTCTTTTTCTTTGTCCCTTTCCGATTTATGCGTCATTCCTGGTTATGGGCCATGCTAATCTTCTCTGTATCGTTGCAAAATTTAACGGATGTCTGGAAGGATGGCTTTCTTGCCTTTTGATCTCCAGTGTACGTCTCCTTTGGTTTTCACCTTCGTATTTTTCACTGTGTAAGGGCCTTTGTATTTTTGACTGGATGCCGACCAGAAAAGAGAAGATAGCCATTTCTAGCCATCTTTCCAGAAATCTTTTGTTCATTGTAGCCATCTTTCCAGAAATCCTGTTTGTTTGATTCTTGCTTGCTCTGCTTGCTGTGTGCATTTTTCTAAACTTTTCTTCCCCTTCAAGCGGGTTTGGAATGAACCGATCGATGCAATGGAAGACTCGTGGAGTTCCATAGTCCTCAGCGGAACTTGCAACTCCAAGCGTGAATGTTTGTTCAGTGCAAAGTCCGTATCCCTTGTGTCTTGTTTGAATGGATGTGGTCTTGATCTTGGGTTATATTACATGACACACTCTCACACAGTCGACCACGTTTCCCTCTTAAAGGACATCTAAAACCGTCGTTGTGCAAGGTGGTGCGGAGTCCCCTTGTCCATCAGTCAAATACCTCCTAGGCAGACTGTTGAGGCTCGATCTTGTGACCAGTGGTAGTCGGTAAAAGTGCAACGAAACAGGTACCCTACTTTTTGAAGTTTTTGTGGTGTTGTTTTTAGCAAATACGAAAGTCTGAGGCTGAGGAAAGGGTCTGTTACGGGGACCCTTTTTTCTGTGGAGTTGGGTCGGTGAATACACAACACAGCGAATCCACAACACGGCGAACACACAATTTTTTCATATCTCCTAATTTTCACTGTTTCGTTCACAGAAAGGTGTTTGTACTGCCAGGGCAGGACTACATTATAAGGGAGTGGGGAGGAGAGGGGGGGAAGGTTTCAAATATGTGAAGAAGCTATAAAAAGAATTAGGATGCGGGGGCCAAGGGGGTGGTTTCAGGGGCATCGGTTAGTTATGTTTAAGAGTCAAAACCTTCTGTTCTCCCTAGTATTTTTATGGTCATGTATTTACCATACTTGCGGCGCGTAGGTGAAGTGCGCTGCGCAGTGCGCCAATCCCAGGTGCGCGCGCGCAAAAAACAAAAAACAAAAAAAACGTGATGTGTGTATACACGCTGGAGAGAGAGAGAGAGAGAGAGAGAGAGAGAGAGAGAGAGAGAGA